GTTAAAATATTCAATATTTTCCCAATATACCTAAGAAATAAAACAACCGTATGGAAGAATGTCGTGTGAGAAGAAGGAAGAATTTGAGAAACAAGCATACCACTGCATAAAATTAATATTTCAATAAAGAAACTCTACAAAATAGAGTTAATTCCACCTGATTGTTTAAAGATCATAGAGGAAAGTTTTTTATTCATATTTAAAAGTAGCCAAGAAAGGTCAATTCTATATAAAGTAGTGTCCTCTAGAAAATAAAGCTCTGAGACACAAAGGAAGCGAATTAATTCCTTTTTGCTTCTCCATCTTCATCTAGTCTTGGTAAATCCTACAAGAGGAAGAACGAAGAAGGCTCTTCTTGGTCAAATGAGGAAGCAGGCACAAGGAAATAGAAATTGTCATTACTGACTACTCTTGAAATGCAAAATGATAAACGTATCCAGACCACGTAGATATTTCGAATATTATCTAAGGAAATCAACATCACCATCCATGAGAGGAAGTGTGTAGAGAGGAAAGAAGACAAGGACGAAATAGACGACAGACATGCTGTCTGCTGCTAGACTGGGTAGAATCTAAAGATTACAAAAGGAACCTACTATACTTCGATTAAAATTAGGATGTCGCTGAGAAAAAAACTAACTTACCAGAGATATGAATGATGGAACACAGCAAAGGAGGGCCCTACAGGTGTCGCTAGATATCTAAAGCAAGAATAAAAACCCACTGGTTAGGCTACCTATAAGAAATTTCACAACAAAGCAGGGGTAAAAGAAATCTCATAGAACACAAAGTGTCTTTATGGATGAAGAAGAAGAAAGAAAAAAAAGGTCATACATGTGTGAGTATCAGGGGTAAAAGAAATCTCATAGAACACAAATTGTCTTTATGGATGAAGGAGGAGAAAGGAAAACAAGGTCATACATATGGGAGTTTTAACAAGGTCATTTGAGTTTCCATTCTCCTTTTTTTACTTCTTTTGGAATATAGGATCCAAACTTCAATTTTCCTAGCAAAAAACATCAGTTTTTTTTCTTTCATTTCATTTTCAGCATTTATATATGTATTTTCATATTTGAATGTGTGCAGGAAGAAATGTCTCTTCACCAACACTTATGCTGGTGAAACTGTCCAAAAGGACCTCTTTGATATATCATTGAAAGTTGGGGACCTATATACAGAAAAACTATGGGAACCAAGTGACAGTAATCCTATATGTTGAGAACAGTCATGGCAATTTCCCAACATGTTAAGGAAATTATTGAAGTAAATTCTACTTAGAATTTATTAACATTCCAGACTGTCTGAGGAAAATTGTTAGACAAGCAAAAATAAGAAGAAACAGTCTTTGCACTCTAAAAGATAGTGGAAATCCTCCTCTACAATATACACGTTCTTGGAGAAATGAATAACTTCTTTAAGGGCAATCCAGAGAATAGTTTTAACAAATATTTGTTGATGAGTTAGTAAAATGCTACAATTTAACCAAAAATTGAAAGACGGAATCAAGGGACTTCAGTTACAAGATAGGATCTCTATGTAGCGAAATTTGATAAAATGCTACAATTTGACCAAATAACAGATGACAAAAGTGACACTAAATCAGATTTGATCTTTTCCTACTCATTTCATTTGGGGAAAAAATCTGTGTTAATCAAGAAAGATGTAGAAACAAAATAACCCACCATCCCAAACTCGTACCCCTTCGTCTCCAAATACACACACTAAAAAAAAAAACACTGAGAGAATGAGAGGTATGCCACTATACGTTCTATAGGATCATTTTTAAGAAATTTACTAAATGAACGATTAATGAATTCACATACATGCATATTTGAACAGTTGTATCTGTTTACGAGGGTAATTGCGAAACAGTAACAACTCATCAGGATAACATCACATAAGCTCAAAGGGCAAAGCATAACTCATTAACAATATTAAAGAACTACAAGAACAATAATCAAACTACCATAAAAACCCAACATGTACATGTATAAAAATATATGTATCTCCACGATTGTTTTAGCCACTAAATCCAATTTTAAACCAAGGCATAATTTAAGCGTTATCTAACTCTTCACTATTCATTCAAAACGCACATAATGTTTTACAGCTATCGTTAGAGAAACTACAAAGTACCTTCAGGAAGCCAACCGTAACCGCATCGAGAGACGGTGAGCATCGAAGTCATCAATGCAGAGGCAGTGGCGCTGTGGTAGGGTTGCATTGACCCCATACACGCACTCATCTCAGCTGGACACCTTCGAATTAAGTCAACAAAAATATATCAAATAAAAAGAAAATTTCTGAAATTAAAAATACATAATTGACATATACATCAAAATACAAACACAATTAATATTCAAATTTACATAAATATATACAGGAATGGGTAGGTTTTACCGGAATATGCGGTGGGCAAGGGGGTTCCTGGAAGGAAGGCGGAAGGGGCAGCGAGCAGCCTTCGCTTGTGAGCCGAGCCTAGTGGCGGCGCTGCGAACGGAGGACGACCTGAATGCAGATCTGGCTGCGGAGGAAGCGGCGGCTATGGCCATTTTTTTAAAAAAAATTCAACGGAATCTGAAAAATGCAAGGGTTTTTGAGCTAAGGTTTAAACCCCGTAATAACTGAGAGTCTGAGACTCGAGGGTTTCGACCAAACTTTTCAGAATTGGGGAATTCTTGAGGAGAAATAATAGATAGATCCCCAATGTTTGGACATTTTATCACCTAGATCCTTTCTCATTTTTTATTCCGAAATTGGGTTAAAAGTTAAAACCCCGTTTGGTCACCAAACTTATGCACTTGTTCCTATTTGGTCACCTATCTTTGTTTTGTTCTAATTTTGGTAATATTACTTTATATTATACTTTGGCAAGCTGATTTTCTTTTTTTTTTTTTGGGTCTTGGGCATTAATTTCATCCACCTCAAGTTACACCTTGACCAAAAGGGCAAAAAATAAAGTAAAAAGGTAAATGAAAGATGACAAAAATCTCTATTCATCTTCTTCACGACTCCAATTCTCCAACTTACCTTGTTGCTGTCGTCTTCAATATAGTTATGCAATTATCTTCTAGCTACTTTCTAGATAGTAGCATTCGATAAATATTAAAATCTTTTCTTGTTCAACATTTCTTTCGTCTTCATTATTGAATTATATCAATAATGTTGTTGATGAGATTCTTGAGAGTGCATTCGATAATTATTAAAATCTTTAATTTATCAAAAAAAAGAAAAACATATTAAGAAGAGTACTTCAAATGAATTTTCTTTCTTGCATATATCTACGCATCTTTCACCGGGATTGGAACTCCCCAAAAAATATGGCCATATCTTCCATTTTTGTGTGTTAATAAAATTCTTTGGATTGGAACTTTATGTGCTTGATTGGGAAAAATATATATAATGAGGTTATAATGAAGAAGATTAATGAATTTCATGAATGTTTGAACCCAATTGTTTGGTGGAATGCATTTTGAAATAGTAGATTATGTGGAATGTGTGGTTAATAAATAAGGAAATGTTTTGGATTTACGTGTAATATTATTTTATTGAAAAATGTGATTTAAAAAAAAAAGAGAAAAATATATTTTGAAAAAAAATGGGGATCAAACAAGAGTGAAATGTGTATGTAATAGTTGTGAATGTATATCTGAAATTAATGTTTGACTCAAGAAATTGTACTAAAACCCAAACAAGCACTAAGAGTGTTTGATTTGCTTTATTTTTCATGAAAAATATTATTCTTCTACCCAAATTCCTATTTTTGAGGTGTTTAATTGACAATTTTTTCCATGAAAAATATCTTCCAACTTTTGATCATGTGAATTGTCATCACACTACACAATACAATGGGTTCAATCTCAATAACATGGCTCAGTGATTACCTCTCCTTTTACGGTATTAACCTCATCAATGGATACTGCTTAAGTAACTGCAATTGAAGTTGCTGTTAACCACGTAATCACGATCAAACTCCAAATAAACAGCCTGCCGAAAAGGTAGCCCACTTATTAAGAGCAGCATCATACTAAGAGAGTAAAGAAAAGAGTATCGTGTTTGAGATATTGCAACATGTACATCAAGGTTACGTAATGGATTATATAAATATCATATGATACTCTACCATTTGTCAATTTAAAACACGATCAACTTTTTCATCCTATCCAAATCCTCCACATCATATTATGTAATCCCTTATGTACAATTTTGACGTGTAAGTAGCAAAATCTTTGTGTTTGCACGAATGAAATTCTTGTAATCAAAATTGCCACCACCATTATGGAGTTGTGCTTCTTGGTTAACCAATTCATTGGCCTAGTTTGAGGATCGATGGAGTTGCAGGCTTTAGGCTAAAGAGATTTCTAAATGGACAAATATTATTAGTATAGTCCGTTTGGTACCGATTAAAATTCAATTAAAATTGAAAATATAGCCATTATTGAACCCCACTCCTCTAATAAAAGTCAACAATAACGACTAATTTTTCAATTTTAATCCGATTTTAATCTCTACCAAACGGGCTCAAATCTGTAGTAGTCGGTTCCAAAATGTCCAATGCTTTGTGGCCATTTGGATTCACATCTATGCCAGTACTTCCTAGTAATACTGGACTGTCTGCATACTGGAAAAATGTTTATGTATATTTGCATATAAGCCCGGAAAAGTTTCAATTATGTCAAAAAAATTAATGTGACTTAAAATTTTCTGCCAATTTCTTACCAACCTTACAAAATTTAGAAAAAGAAAAATTCTCTCTTTTGAGTAAAGTCTTAATTATCTCAAACCCAATATTACCAAAAAAAAAAAAAAGACCTTCCAAGTCACTGCAAAATTGTTGCACGCGTGAAATCTTCATCTTCTTCATTTATACGGGAATAACAGACTGCACGATATCACATCCGGTCCTCACTTTCTCTACCGAGCTTAGAACCATGGCACTTTTAAGACCCTTGAATATTAAGGGCATGAACAAGCAGTAAATCCATGCAACTGCACCAAGTTCATTCAACTTCTTCAATGATTCTTCTTTTACGCAATGACTCCTTTGGGATGCTACCGGGGGCACTATGAGCTCTCCTCCTCTCTTCTTTCTTTCTTTCAGCTTCAGACATAATACGCCTGAGCGAAGCTGCCTTGTATATTGCTTTTGGCAAGTGCCTGTGCCTGTAACATCAAGACAGAGTACATCTTAGCTGTATGAACGGCTGAACAACCCTTAACGTTCACATCCCTGGGCCACATGGACCACCCATGTTGCTTTATCTTAAGCAAGGGACAAAAATTATTTCATTGGCAAAATGAGGAAAATCCCTTCAAACTTCTAATCAAGACGTAATATCAAAATACTTAATTGAAAAACATAAAAGTAAATTGCTACAGTTGCATTGGTTAAATACTCCATGGATTTTAAAAAAAACAAAAAACTCGAAGATTTAAAATTAAAGCTGACCAGAAGATTTAATCGCATTAGGCAGAATGTCCAATTTCTCCTTATCCATAGCTTATGAGAAATCAGACGCTAATTCAAATCTTAAAGGCTCAACATCTGGTAAAGATTGCCTTATGAACAATTCAATAAATTTATGTACCTGACAATGCGCTTAACCTCAGGAAGATGCTTGTAACGATTCTTGACAGCCTCCAGATATTCATGCTTTTTACGTTCTCTTGGCAGAAGCTGCAAAAACAGAAATGACATAGTCAGCAAATAGGCAGATGCAATAGGATGAAATCTTCGGTTTATATACATGAAACAACAAAATAATCAGCAAGAGCTCCATTATTATTATTAACTAAGTGTATTTTCTAGATCTTAACGTCCAAAACAGCATTTTTCTAGGACCAACCATATACTACAAAACTTGACGAGAGACGTGAATTAAAAAGGATAATAATAATGAAGAGGAACAGAATCATACAACTCCCAATTGCTCTGATGCTTTAGCCTTCCAAAGGCGAAGATTGGTGTCATCACTCCCGGAGATGACATAACTTGCATCACAACTGAACTTGACACAGAATACTCTATATGGATAACAAAATAATGTCAGTACATATCTAATTGAGAAAAAAATCATATATTATACAATTTGTTAAAAATAATTACCAATTAAGCAAACATAATCCGAGTTCAAATTATAATTGATTCGTCATCAATGTCACATTCCAGTGACCACCATTATAATCGATTCGTCATCAATGTCACATTATAAAAAATACTAGAAAAATTAATATTCTAGTGCACTAAAAACCTTTGCATTCTCTTGGTATGATAGACTTCTCGGCTGTGACCACCATTATATTGGAATATTCTCACCTGCGAAGATGCAAAATATAGTTAGATCACTGTCAGTCTTAGACAAGGAAACATATTCTCCAATAGGTACAGTAACAATGTCACGGGAATGGACAGTATCATATAAACGTAAGAGAACTCACAGTTCTATCATAAGATCCAGATACAAATTCACGGCCAGTTGGTGAGTAATCAATATCCATCCTGCACAGAGGTCATGAAACATTAGGACATAAAATTATATACAAAGAGATGCTAACTCAACTATCTATAAAATCACGAGGATAAAAAATCAAAGATTGCTGTCGTACACTGCAGAAACATGATCTTTGTGCACACATCTAGCTTCATCCAATTTTCTAGCATCATAGCTGTAGCAATTGCAATCTTCATTAGCCTGCATTATTATGGGACGTTAGTTCATCGAAATAGTGACCGAGGAAATTATATACACTTGGAAACAAGGTTTTATCATTTTCCAGATGCTATTTAACCGAAGTTTAAGAGCATAATTATGATTTGACAGTTGACCAACTTTTACATTTTTATCACAATGCAAAACAATCACTAAAAATCATAACAAGCAGAAATCTTATAAGCTACTTTTTCTTTTGAGATTTCAGGAGTTTGGGGGACTAGCAAAAATTAAATTAGAAGATTAAGACATGAAACAAGAATGAGAACCTTTAGTTAACACATGTACTGAAGGACTTGGAACCTTTAGTTACTCCTCAAGGTTCACACACTCAATTTGTTTGACAAATGTTTATTGTTCAGCTTTGACTGATCATTCAAGAGAAAGGAGGAAGAAAAAAAAAAATTAGATCCAAATGTGGAGCTTACAGCTGTAAAATTCATTGGCTCCATGGGATTCCACACTATAGAATTAGTTTTTGTCTGTGACAGGAAAAAGCAACTTAGGATATTATATACATCATAGATCAAACATACTGTGCATCCACAAAATTATCAGAAACATAAAGATAAACCATACTTTGTAAGTACCAAATGCCTCTAAAAGAAACAGATAAAATGTAGACATCATTGCCTGGGGCATGATCAATGTAAAAGAAAATTTGGCCATGGTCCTTCAAAGTTGGATTCTTCCAACGCCTTATGCAAGTCATAACTATTAAACTACGAGTAAGATAAATGCACGAAGTAATATAATGGGTCTTTTACTATGTTAGTTATTTTGACTAATATTATATATTTCTTTGCATGGCGTCTCCTTATCATCCGATGTCGAGAGACTTCTTGATGAAATCTCTAGTTCCTTATATGAACCACATATACATAACTTAAATATACCATACTTGTGACCAAACAACATGATGCCATACTAGATTTGCCAGATAGGCCCATAATACAGGACAACTGGACAAGCTTCTATCAAAACAGATTAATCAAGACTTGAAAGGATAAAGGAGTAAGCGAAACTCTCCAATCCACCGGAAGCTACACAAGAAGACAGACCAAATTTCAATCGATCCATCTATAAATTTCTCTCTTTCTGAGCTTCTAATCAATAGCATCAGTTCCTTTCTCGACAGAATTTCTATTGCAAAATAGCAAAAAATACTCAGAATTATTTAGTGCTAACAGAATATGCTCAAAGATTGGCATGGCAATAATAATTGTAGTTCTTAACAAAAATATACCTTAGTGATGTTGTAGAATATGACATATTGCACCTAAAATACAAGGCTCCTTCAAATCTTATCGAATAGAAAATCATTACACTCACCCTCATGATAATCTTTCTTGCCGGAGATGACAATCTTAAATCATATATTGTTATGCTCCGGTCACTGCAATAAAATTAAGAGTGAGAAAAAGGAGTTGCAGCGAGAGAGAATAAGTATAATGTACAGACCTAATATACATGTTTGGTATAGTTAATTATTAAATAAAGTATCAGTGAACCCTAAATTCCCAAATGTCTTTATTTGAAAAAGTTGTCTATTATTCTTGTCTTTACATGATCCTACTGTTATAAAACAAAATAATTTGGTTTTCATGCTTACAATGCTCAACTTAGTTCTTAGATCTCTACTCCTTTTCCTGCACCAAGACAACAACTTCCTCCACATCGTTGATTCCAATATGACTATGCATCTTCCTGTACACGCCCATCACTCCCAAAACCATCTTGGCTTCTTTTGGCTAGCTTATACTGCTAAAACTCTTCCATATTTTCAGATTTTGCTATGTTCTTATAGCAATTCTTTTTTTACCTTACCCACTTAAATATTGTCGTTCCACCACCATGTTTCTTTATTAAATAGACTTCTACCTTAGACCGCTTAATTCCTTTACTAGGTTCCTAATGCAACTAGCTGTCTCATTACACCTCGTAATCAACACGTGACACAACTTCATTTAATATAAATGTTGAGGTTCATATCTTATTAAAACAAAATAAAGTTATGAACAAAATTTCATCAAAGCAAAAACATGTTTAGGATGAAGCAAATTGGTGAAATTGCAAAAATCTAACATGCTTCTAGCTTTTTGTATCATTTAGTGAAAAACAACAGATACAAAATTAATGGGCATATGAAAGAACTCAATGGTGGAGTAGCAACATATAAATCATAAGGTACATCTATACTCTCAATCCAACAGTTGCATGACCAATCTTTTAAACATATCAACAGGAATAATTAACCTAATCTTAATATAATTATATAGTGCCAACCTAGCCGATGTCGCCAATATATTAGGCTCTCCTGGATTAAACCGAATAGATATAGCAGTATCTTTCCCCCATTCAAAACTGCTGACAGGCTGAGACCTGTTTGAAGAGAGACACGCGAAATGTTAGAAACTGAAGCATCTCTATCATGAAACAAGAAGTCAATATAAATCAAATAAAACCTGTTGTGGTCCCATATATCTACTTGAGCTCCAGCTGTAGCAAAGAGATCTCCATCCCATTGGTGATCAACAGCCCTGAAAGAATAACATAAAGATAAAGTAAAGATGTAAAGCGATTATAATCAGGAAGTTGCATAAATATAACTAAAATAATATTGTTGACAACGATGTGATACAAAATTCAGTTTACATGTTCAGGCAATAGCAGAAAAACTTTACCAGAATGCATTCTTCCAAACATAGACTGCTAGTGGCTGTGGGAACCAAAAAACGAAGGTTCTTCAGTCAAATTGGATATTATTGGTCTCTATGCATGGCAAAGTTAATAGAATGAATGCAAGAATCACTAACCTTGGCTGAGTTATCAAATGAGTCATCAGACTCCATAATAGAAGAAACAGGAACATTCCAGAGCCGGACACTAAAAGATCAAGATTGAATGAAGATATCATCAGAATTCATTCTTATTATTCCAACAATGATTTTACATAAAGACGAATTAAAAATCTTCCAGAGAAGTTTGGTCTTACGTGGAATCAGTCCCACATGATACAAGAACGCGACCATCTGTAGATACTGTCAGACCCCGTACTGAGCCTTGGTGACCAGGAAACTGACAAACTGTCCGCCTATTTTGATAAATTGAGTATAATATTTCAGGAAAAAATGTCGCCAATATTAGAACACGATGTATCTGCGACTAAACTATATTTAGTTTTCTTCCCCTCCAAAATTCTTACAGATATTCTGTACACGTTATCATGTTTTACTTCAAGTAAAAAGGTATATACCGTTATCAGTCTTTTTTAAAAGGGATATTGGATTATACTGCTGTTGGTAATACTTTAACTGAAGTTTTCAACTAATGCATAAAACAATTCAAATGAATTTTCATAGTTTAGCTAACTAAATCCCAAAATATGTAACTTGCAAATCAATACCTGCTAGCCAAATCCCAAAGCCGAATATCTGCGAAAAAGAAAAACTTTTCAACTTTCACGTACTTTAAAATGCCACTAAATGGTTTATGTAACACGAAACTTCAACAAAATCCATTGAACATAATTCATAATTGCCAGTTTAAGTCAACATCAACTTCAACTTCCAAACTGTCATAGCAATTTAGTTTATCCAATTTGAGCTAAAAGGGACAGTTAAATAAAAAAAAAAAAATTATACCTCCATCCATAGAACCAGAAAATATTCCCTTCAAGTGACTCGGGTTTTTTGCCATACACGAGACTGCATCAATGTGCCCATCCATTGCTCCAATAAATGGCCGAGCAAAAATCTTACAAAAGAAGAACGTAAAAACTTTGTATAACACAGAACTTAAATTCTCAGATATTTAATTGAATATGTACCTTATCCAATTTAGCTGCATTAAGAGCGCGAACATATTCGACCGCCTTCTCTTGAGATCGAAGATTTGGGTCAAAATTACGGAAAACCCTCTGGTAAAATCAAAGATTTAAATTCAATCGTGTGTTAAAGAAATATATGAAATTAAAACGGAGAGAATGGTTCTGTACCTGGAGATCTTGGCTTCGTTCGCGTGTGAATTCATCTGTGGAGCGCGATATCACTTTCACCTTCATCGTCTGTTTCGTGCGAAGAAGGAATTGCTTACAGACAATTGAATGCTAAAACCCAAAACCCTAATGGAATTCACCTTGGTCACACTGGACCAATTACGGAAGCCGTTTAGACGAATTGGTGACGTGTGACTAGGGAGGGCAAAAAGGCGAGTCCGGCCGCCCGGCCCGGAAAAGTCCGAGTCTAGCCGGTTCGCAGCTCTCGGGCCGAGCCTCATTTTGGGGCTCGAGTCATTTTCGGTCCAGACGAGCCAAGCCAACTCAACCACGTTTAAAAAAAAAAAGCTAAAAAATTAATAATTTAGCTATGTTTGAGTATTTAAAAAATAATAATAATAAAATCGAGTCGAGCCGAGCAGAAAGCTCGGGTCGAGTTTAAAATTTTTGATCGAACAAAAGCTCAGCTCGGTTTGGGCAAAATAAAGTTCAAACAATTTTTACTCGAGCCAAGCTCGAGTTTCGACTCCACTCGTTGACACCCTTATTTGTACCATTACTGTACTTAAAGAAGGCCTGTGCTAGCACATGGTTAATTGATAGGCCTTCACAGGTGCTGCCAACGGATTTTTTTTGGATCATGTTATTTGTACATTTAAGCTTATACCCTTGTTGACACATGAGCGACGTGACAAGGGTGTGATGATTAGATTAAGCCCCTATTTGGTTCGGATTAAAATCTGATTTTTATCCAAGTCAAAGTCAAACAATCAATATTAACTATATCTTTCAAATGTTCCATAAATTCTTCAACCACACATATCAAAAACTTCTATTACAATCTATTAAAAATCTAATTTTAATCTCCACCAAAAACTCTCTAAATGTGTGAGGTGTGAAAGATGTCAGTGAGATTGTATCAAATGTAAATTCGATAAGTCATATGCGAACTCTGAATATACACTAAGATTGTTTTTTTTTTCTATCTGATGATTGATAAAGCAATGATACGTGTCTCTTAAAAAAAATAGGGAAAATTAGGCCCCATACGGCCCAAATATGAAGAAGTTGAAAAATACTTCCTCCAATTTGAAATTTTGAAATTTACTTCATTACATGTAATAAATTAAATAAAACACTCCTGTGAAAACTTCCATTATGATCTGAAAACTGAAACCTGCTATTTTCACACTCCCAATTGCTAATGAATAATAGTACTCGTGCAAGATTTCTCTTTTTATTTGAATTGCCTTCAATCTTCTTTTCAATATACCCTCAGTACACACCATACACATACACAATTCACGCGTTACTTCCTACGCCATTTCTTGCAGAAATCCGTAGGGATTTGTTAAAGTAAAAGGAAAATAAAGAATTTAAGGGTTAAATTTATGCG